CCATCATAGCGGCTTTGATCGGGGGTTTGGGAGCGAAGTGCTGGAAGGCGCTCCTGTTACCTGCCTGGCCCCTGGATCTGTTTGGAACCATCTCTCTGTTCAGAGGGCGTTTGGGGTTTCAAACCTCTGTCACCTGCCCCTCCGCCCGAGATTGTGATGCAGAAGGTCTGGGCAGACGCTGACAGTCTTGTTGAAGTTGTTTCCCACGTGACACGGACGTGTACAATGGATCTAGGGTCGCTGTTGCCTTGAGTTCGAGCTCTGTGTAAACCGGGCACGGATTCTGCCCGGAAGTCAGAATTTAAAAATCAGTCGGCCTTAGTCACACGTCACCTTTCTCCCCAATAACCTCTTTAAACAAACCCCTTTCTTTACTTCAGAAAAAGAATTTTCAAACCACACAATCTTTTATAGACCAAAAATAGAGATTTATTTCCGAACATGGAGCAGATACATTTTTAAAAACATAAAGCAATAACAAAAACGTCAAGCCACCCTTGAGGACCCTGCTACTTCCAGCTTGAGCAGCAGGTGGGGGCCTCACGGCTCTGGTGAGCTGTGGACTTGATGTGAACAGAGATGATATTTATTTGCTTAATTTATTGCAAATGCATGTTTTACAATCACGAGTAATATGACGGGAGTGGATATGGTCCCTGTGTATACTATTTACATAATACGATGTTTTAAACAATGAAGTTTGCTTTTGATGCAAAACCCACTTACGCAATACACACACACACACACACACGCATGCGCGCGCACACACACACACATACTTACACAATACACACACGCACACACACACACACGCGCACACACACACACACAAACACACACCCCACCATGCCTTTGCCTGGCTCATTAACCAGATCAGTCCACCAGTCCAGCCATGTGAATAGCTGGGATTTTGGACTTAAAATGGAAGGGAAGTCACTCATTTCTCCAAAGCTGACACTGGAAATTTGCTTTTCTCCTGCTTCAGGTGGTTGACAAATGCTATGAACATCACTGGACTCTAAAACACACAGACAGACAGACATACAGAGCTGGAGAGGCGTGGCAAAATTTAGGACCCATCGAGCTGAGTCCTTGTTCACAAGCAGGTTATGTACAATCCCGAGAAAAAGAGAGGGCATCATTTCAGGGCCAGCCTGAGGGCGTTTCCGCAAGACAGAGAACTTAGGGGTCAATGGATCGGCAGGGGGACATCCAGTCGCTTCCGTACGAGGCCTCAAATGCAGGAACCAGGGTAAGTGTCCTGGGTCCAGCGTGGTCAGCCTGAGGCTCCCAGACACGACAGGCCGGTGGCATCTGTCATCCAGAAGCCCAGGGCTGGAAGGGCTGCCCGCCTGTGCGTCTAGATGGAAATGTGTGTATAGTACACACACACACACACGGACACACACACACACATGCACTCAACTTTCTCTATCCACTTCCTGCTTGCCAATAAAGCTTCTAGAACATGTGCGGCCACAGCCCCTGGAGAGGAAACCCCTCTTCGTCCTGCAGTGGAAGGAATCGGAGCTGCTCTGCAGGCAGCGATGCCACAAAGCCGACTCTGTCCTCCACCTGCCCTGTGAGAGGGGGCCTGTGTCTGTTTTGCCGGGGATGGTCAGCACCGGCCGCCATGCCCTGGCCCTTCGCCCTGGTGTTGCCAGCTCCCCGGTGGGAGTGGGCACTGGAAAGGAGCCCGGCAGACCACGCTCCGGCCCGTACCCCTCAACCAGCCACCAAAGCAGCCGCCACCCGGGGCCCGCCGAGGAACGAAAAGCGGCGGAGGCTGAAGTCCCAGGGAGAGGCCCGAAGCCCATCGTCCCTGGGTTCAAGTCCCGAACTGACCACGGGCCAGCTAGCTGGTCGCTCTTAGGCAGGCTGCCAGCCGGCTCTGTGCTCTGCTTTCGTTATCTGAAACCAAGGTCATGACTCCCGAGCGTGGGCCCGTGGAAGGAGCCAGGGCCGTCTTGCAGGCCCTCATTCATGTCCCTTCTGTCTCTTTGTCATCAGAACAGGAAGAAGGGCTACAGGCCTGGGTCCTGGTTGCTGAGCTCAGAACTGCACATTTCTGAAAGGAAGTCCAGGACCCTTTAGGTCCCTAGGTCCCTCTGTGTGATTACTGTCCTCTGTCTGGACAAGGTGGTGCCAACTTGTGAGCTGCTGTGATGTTACCATGACAACCAGAAGGTAGGTGCTGGGGATGCTGAATCGACTGACTATTCAGGGCTCTGGGTGCTCTGCCACAGCATCTGTTTTCAGACCACGAGCTTTTGTTTTTCAATTTCCTTTTAAAAACAAATTCCCCCTTCTTCTTCCTTTGATGGACAGAAGGCATTTCTCTTGTGACTGGAACTGGGGAGAAATGATGGCTGGTTTACGTCCTTGGAATCTGGCCCTCTCCTGGAGGCGCTGTGGGCTCTGCCAGCCAGAGGATGGGAACCACCTGTGGGTGCACTCTTGAACTTCCCCTTTCGAGGCCTCAGTGGTCTGCTAGACAACATGCGGGCCAGCCCGGAAAAGCTCAGAGAACCCCTCTTTCCAGGATTTGCACCCAGGAGTTCCTCATGTTCCAGAAGAAATTAAAGCAAATATGAATTTCCTGGGCTGAATCCCAATGCCAAGCTGGTGAGCCTAGAAGTGTCCTGACTATGGAAGGAATGTCTGCAGCCCCGTGGGGATGGAGAGAGACTGGCAGGACTCGGGGACCCCTGTCAACTGGAGAGGCAGATGGCGGGAAATGATGGAGGGTTCTCATGCTTCAACGATGAACACCTCCACGTTCATGAGACCAAAACGTGGAGGGTCACGATGACCGAGGATCTTCTCTTGCTGAGACATATAAGGGCCACCACAACCCACTCTTCCTTTCTTTCTTACTAAGAGAAGCCCGTTTGTTGCGGGGCATGTTTCCAGACTCCTTGCACATGTGGGGGTCCCATGGGACAAGTTCTAGCCAACACGATGACAACAGAAGTCTGGGTGGGGCTTCTGGGAAAGCTCCTGGAAAGGAGGGCAGGCTCAGCTCACCCACTTCTTCCTACCTGGAACCCAGATGAAAAAGCCGAGGTAAAGCAAGCATCTCGGGCCATGAGGTGGCCACGAGGGAAAGGAGAGAATGTCGTAGAACCCTGGGCCCCAACATCCTCGAGCCGAGGACACAATGCAAACGGCTGCTCAGCTCTGCACCTCCCAGGATGAAGGAAGACAGAGTCCCTCGTGTGCTTAAGTCAGCGTTGGTGGGAGGGGGGATTCTCATCCTTGTGGCCGAATCTAGGGGTTTCCTCTCCAGACGGGAGCCCAGCTCCATCTTCCTAGAATAGCTAACATTTCGAGTAGCACAGGAGGTTTCAGGAGTAAGTTCTGCTTTTACCAGTGGCCGGGGGAGGGCGGCAGGGAACTCGCCCATGCTATAACGGCAGAGCGCTAGGAGGGTCACTGTCATCGGACGGGAGCGGAGATCTATCCCCACCGCTGGAAATGACTGACCCCTGAACTCGCCGGGTGAACGGGGACTGTCCGAACCTCAGTTTCCTCACCTGTGAAGTGGGCACGAGTTGGAACAAGACGGTCTATACGAGCCCTTCCCTCTCTGACAGCCTAAAAAACCCCAGTAAGTTAGCGTTTCCTACTCCAGCTCACTTTCCCTAAGTCCTATCTGGAATTCATCCCGCTGCCGGCTTTTTGGGGTCAGCTTGTCCCACCCAGGTACCAGACTCAGGTATAAGGCTGTCAAACACGTTTTTCTCCTATGACAAATGTGATTGATTGGCAGTGACTGCCTGCAATGGTTCTGAGGACCGTGAGGTCTATTTGGGCTGAAGCAGGGGAGGGGAAGAGCTCGGTGATCAGTTAGTGATGTCTGCCATGGACGCAGTGAGGTGAGTAGAGGGCCACGTGTTTAAAGCTGGGCCTGTGCTCACAGCTCAGTCTCACCGTCTCTTCTCTGTTGCTGACACAGACCGGTGACAGATTGGGGTGAGGAGAGCCAGGGGAGCCCCCAGTGGATTAGCCGAGTTCCCATGAGACAGGGAACAGGAACACGAGAGGCTCGCTCGAGGTCACTGTGCAGCCGCCAGAGAGAGACACCCTGATAACATACTTCGAAGGAAGCCACTGGTGCCTCAGGCCTCACAGAGCAGGCGGGGACCTCAGGCGCAGCCTCCCCTGGGGGTCTCTCGGCTCCCCGGCTCCAGGGAGTGGCAGGAGGCAGGAGGGGGCCAGACTGGTCCTGGGACATACAGTGCCAGCCCAGACACTCTCCCCTGGAGAAAGGTGGAGTCTGGTCATCGTGCCCTCTGCTCCCTGCGGACGAGCGCCCGGGGAGTCTGAGCACTCGGGGAGTCTGAACACCCGGGGAGTCTTAGCACCCGGGGAGTCTTCTAGCCGCATCTGCTGCTCACACCCGCCCCTCCCCCATCTTTTCTTTATAAACGCCCTCTGGGTTCCAGTGTCATCCACATTCAGAGGTCAGACTAAGACAAACGAGCAGGGGAGCGGAGACAGCTAAGCAGGTAACAGCCGCTTCGACCACGCTCACCTGTGTGTCTCTCCTCATCCTCCTCATGCTCCTCATGCTCCTCACCCTCCTCACCCTCCTCATCCTCCTCACCCTCCTCATCCTCCTCTCCTTCATTCCCGCCTCCTCTTTCTGTCTCCCAGTCTCTCTCTCAGTCTGTCTGTCTGTCTGTCTGTCTCTCTCTCTCACACACACACACACACACACACACACACACAGTGATACGCACATTTCTTACCACCCTCTCACTCTGGGGACGGAGGAAAAATGAACACGCACAGGTCCCACCATGCGTGGCACTTCAGAAAGCCATAAAACTCATGACCGTCTGCACACACTTGAAGCAAAAGAGCTTACACTTGGAAAGCACCAGTCAACAGTGCTTTTCATAATAATTGTATTTATATGAAAGTAATGAAAATAACAATTCTCTTTAAAAAAAACAAAAGTTAGGCAAACAAGCAGACTCTATGGCAGCATTATCAAAGTTTAAAAAATATATATTGACATTCCCGCCACGCAGCCCACTCACTGCAGCTTCTCCCCAACGCCCGACACAAACGCGTTCACATGGAACGGCCGTTTCTTTCTGAAGTTCTGACGTGGGGGATCCTGCTCTGTGGGGGCGCTGGTGACCAGCGACGGCCTCGCCACCTCTCGCTGCGTGCCTGTGGGGGGGTTGCTTCCCCGTCTGGGCCTCAGCCTTCTCAGGCAGGAGAGGAGGAACGGAGGTGGCCAAGGCCCCCGCCAGAGCCCTGGCCTCCAGGGCCGGCCCCACACAGCCTGGCGAGTGCCCGGGCTTGGCGGCCCCTGGTTTTCCAGCAAAGCGGACGCCCGCAGGGTGTGGCCTTGTGGCTTCTAAAGGTCTGGAGAAAAGTGTGCTTTAGATCAGTGCCAAGTGCTGTTCTCAGCAACACCACCTTCCTGCCCTGTGGACGTCCAGTTCCTCTCGGTTTCTGGGAGGCCTGGGGCCCCACCGTGTGAGCCGGGCCGGTGCCAGAATGAGATGTGCGGGCTTGTGCGAGAACGGAGTGGGGGGCACGGTGCTGGGGCCGGGGCCTTCTTGGTCCTCGGTCCCCACTGCCCCCTGCTTAAAAGGCCTGAGGAATCCCTCTTGGTCACCTATTTGTAGCTGAACGGACAAGATCAGTTTGTAAAGAGTGAGCACTAAGCATTTTTTTTTTTAAAAAAAGAAAACGTTAGTGTTGATTTAGGGAAAACGTGATCCAGTTATGAAGCACCTTGGAACGCTCCGGAATTCCCCGGGGAAGAAGGCACGTGTTTCCGGCCCCAGGGCCCTGCATAGTCTGCCTGGCCCTTCTTCGCTGGTGCATGGAGGGAACCCGGCCACCCAGCCCGGCCGGACAAGGCCTGGTTTCGGGCGCCCGGAGCCGGGCTCCCTTGTTGGGGGCACTTGTGGGACAGTCCCGGTCCAGAGGACCCGCCTCTGTCCTAAACCACTCCCGGGAGGAGGCGGGAGAGCACTTCATAAGGGCCGAAATCCAAGGCGATCTTGCAGCTCTGTCTTGGACCCTCGACCCCTGGCCCTTGGTGTGGCAGGTGTTCCTCTTCTGTCCCTTCGGCTGGAGTTGGAGACAATGACAAACCCAGCCCGAGAGTGATGGCGGTGATGCATCTGCTGGCACTGTCGGGCGGGAGGTCCCCAGTCTGCACGAGACCTCGGCAGTAACGTCCGTCTCTTTCGGGCCCGTCCCCCGGAGCAGCGTGCTCGGCCGGCCGAAGCCGTCCCAGAGGGCTGGGCGCGTGGCCGTGATGCCCCCGTCGCTCTGTGCTCCCAGGCGCCCCGGCATGCGGCGCCCCATCCTGCTGTGCTCTCAGGCTCTTTCTGGGTCTGCTCTTTGCAGTTCTTCCCTTCACGTCACTTCCCCGCTTGTCACTTTTCAGCGCCGTCACCGGGCCTGCCTCGGATCGTCACGGTTTCTGCTTCTGATCCACAGCATCTCCTCCGCTGTCGTTTTCAAAACTAGACAAAGATGTTTGTTCTCATTGTGCCTAAAACGAGAGTCGCTGGGCCCCGAGTGGGGGCCTGGGGGGCTCTTCTGTGCTGACAGCTCGGGGGGCTTTCCACGAACGTCCGGGTTGGGGGGTGGCTTCTGGAGAAGAGGTCGCCATACAAGGGACGCGTTACTGTTCCCGCTTTCCAGGGCTGACCCGGAGGCCATAGTATGAAGGCCACAAAATAGCGACTTTTTCCCAATTACAAATAGATGCCATATCTGAAACGATACATCCTGAGCATTTACATACAGAGCGTATAAAAATTCTATACATCATTCCCTGGTCACACAGAGTCCACACGTAGTATAAATAGACGCAGACAACACGGTATAAAAAGAAGTTTTTTGGCTGGGAACACTGATACAGTATTTACACTGGGGCAGCTCTGCCAGCCCGGCCTGCCTGATTCCGGTTTCCCAGGCCCTCGGGAGGAGCCCGGGGCGGACGGAGGGCTGGAGCAGACAGACACCTGTGCGCTTGCAGTGGGCTAGGTGGGCGGCGGGCCGTTGTAGCGGAGCATGAGCGTGAAGGAGCTGGCGAGGTTGTTGGCCAGGGCGCAGTGGCGGCCCTCGTTCCCCACGGGGAGCAGGAGCAGCAGCAGCAGGAGCAGCAGCAGCAGCATCTGCAGGGGGAGCGCCACGCAGCACACCCTCCGCAGGAGGTCACGCGGCCCCTGCCGCCGCCTCGTCTGTAGGACCAAAGCAGGAGTGTGAGCGGCTCGCGGCTCTGAGCCAGGGACAGGGCGGGGGGCGGGGGGACGCCCGGGCTCCGGGCTGCCTATCTGACCGCACAGGTCCCCGTCTTCCCAGCCGTGACGTTTTCTGCCAGAAACAAATACCTCGGTAGTTTCTCAAACCATTCAAGCCATGAAAGGAAGGGAAAAATAGAGTCACAGGCTCTGCCAGTCACTCCGTAAATCTTTGCCTGGTCATTCAGAGGCCCGGGTATAAATTTTGAGAAAGTCACTCAGCTTCTCTAAACTTCAAATTTCTCATCTATAGATAGAGTAATAACAGTACCTACCTGGCGAGAGCTGTGAGGAGTAAATGGGACAGGGCCTGGCGCACGGTAGGTACTCGGAACGTCTGCCATTATTATCATGCGTCATCAATATCGTCACTATCTAAATCATGGTCACTACCGATTCCCCCCTTATCTGCATCAGCGTCATCGTCGCCACCGCCGCGTTCGTCCTCACGTTCTTCAGCACCATTTCCTCTTCCTCTTCCTCCTCTTGCTCCTTTGTCACCATCCTCACCATCAACACCATCATTACCACTTAAAGGCCAGTCTCACGAGTCCAAATGCCTAATGGACTTCTTTACTGCATTGTTCATGAAAACAGCCAAAGGACACTTTCTAAATTCTAGAGCGACTGGCTGGGTTGTGGCTTCATGAGAGGACGGGGCTAAGAGCTGGCTGCTCGGGACAGGGGAGGCCCCCACAGTCACGATGCAGCCTGGTCCAGGTGGACCCCGCCCTCAGGAACCTGGCTGACTAGGGTCCATGCCGATTCCGTCACACACTAGCTATGTGACTTGGGCGAGTCCACGGCCTCTCTGAGCCCGCCTCTGTTTCCTCTGCAGAAGAGGAATTCACACCCACCTCCCATTTGCCAGGTTATGGTGAGGACTCAAACCAAAGTATATGCACACACCAATTGAAAAGTAAATAAGCTCTTATTAACAGTACAATTACTGTAGAATAATGTCAGCTGGCTCCCTGATGAACAAAATGTTCCCTTTCCAGGGCACCAAAAATTACAGCCAAGGGATGATCGCTGGCTCCCTAATGAACAAAATGTTTCCAGGGCACCAAAAATTACAGCCAAGGGATGATAACGGTCGTGATGGCATCGATGATGGTGCTGGAAATGAGGATGATGATGGTGGGGATGATGATGGTGATGGTGATGATGATGGTGATGATGGTGATGATGACGACGATGGTGATGATGTTCCTGGGAGGTTCTGACCTGGGCACCCCAGGCTCTCTATATCTCAGATCTCAGTCATCCGCCCACTCTCCTGCCCCAACTGTCTTTTCCAGATTGATGATACTGGCCCTCATGCCTCCAGCCTCAAATATTCTTCTTGTTCATTAAAGTCCTTAGACGCTGATTTTGTAAAAACGGACTTTTATAATCCACAGAATGGAGAAAGACTGCTGGCTGCATTTATTTCAGCAGTGATTTCAGATGATGAGTTTACAGAGGAGGAGGCTCTTCCCACAGCCACTGGGCTGGGTCACCCACCACCCTATAGGAGCCGAGCGCATGCTCTTGCCCACCCATTCGGCTCACGTAGGGCTGCCTCAGTCTATGGGGGTCTAACTTGACTCCTTGACATTTCATGTTGACTTGGCCTAATTCCCAACCTCAAATCTATCTGGGAACAGGAAAAGAGGGTGAGACAACATGCTGTCAGCCCTCCCTAGCTTGGGTTTATACCACAACTGAGAACCTGTGATTAATGGTCTCGCAAATGGAGAAACTATTTACAAGTGTTCTGTTTCTGTTTGCTTCTCTATTCTCAGATCTAACTCTTAGCTTATTGAAGTGAAGAGTTGTGTCTTGGCCGTGATCCTCGTGGGAAAACATTTTTGAAGGTCTAAAGTGTGTTTGCATTAAGAAGTATTAACAGGGTGGTCTTTTTCAAAGGACTCCTTCTGCCCACTCAGTGGCTGTTTACTTAGAGCTCAGATCCTCCCTTTGAGGGACCTGAATTCTAAAATGTTCTTTTAAAAAAAGGCACATTTCAATATGATTCTCAAATGACAACACAAACACACGCTCACGAATAGTCAGGAACTACCTTCTAAGATGCCAACAAAGAAATTGACAATCTCGGCTCTTCCCAGATCTGGGAGCTTCTACGTGCCTCAGTTTCCCCACAGAAAGTACTACCTGTGTTCTACCCGGTTAGAACTATGCAAAGAGAGAAGAGGCTTTCTCTGGAAGTGATAAGCTCCCCCACCCTTAGGGTAGGGAAGCAGGGGGTTCGGAGCACATAATAGTGGAGATGTTTGGTAGGGTAATTACATACTCGGGAGTCCTTCGAGATCTCACATGAACCTGAGAATCTGGAGCTTCGAGGAGTTCAGGAAGATGAGTTTATCACAGTACGTGTGCCCTAAGCTTCTGCCATTGATGAAAGGGGATGTGACCTAGGAGAGGCCATTTAACCTCGCAGAGCCTCAGTTCCTTTATCTGTTGGGCCAAAGGGAGAATGATGCCTACCTACCAAAGTTATAGTCAGCGCTAAATAAATGCTCATTTCTTTCCTCCGCTGACTGACGGACGCTGGGAAAGACGGGCGGCTCCTGTTAGCCCCACAAGCTTCCCCGTCCACTGGATGCTGGCGATCAGGCGCCACCGACCTCTCCAGCCCCATCAGAGAGAAAAGCACCGCCCGCCTTAAATGCCATCTCTTGGCTCCTCAAGGCCCTCACTCCTCCTGCCACAGGGCCTTTGCGCGTGCTATCTCTGCTGTCTGGGACTCTCGTTTCCCCTTCCTCCAATGCACCTGCTTGGCTCCCACTGATCACTCTAATCTCAGCTGCGAGCTGCTTCCTCCGGTTACCCCCAGACCAGCACAAGCCCCACCGCACCTTCTCATGGCACCCCGACTTTTCCTTAGGACTTCCAATTCCAGTTTGCATTCCCCTTGACACCTTGGAGGCGGGGTCTGCGTTAGCGTTGCTCATCGCTGTAGCCCCAGTGGTGCTCGATAGATATTTGCTGACTGATTGAAATCGGGAAGAAAAGGCTCCCTCCCGTCGTCCTGCGCATCAGGCCGTCTGCTCTCGCCCTGGCGCCCATGGCGTGACCACGCAGACTGACCACTGTCCGCGAACTGTTCGCCCTGCCCGGCTGGTTCCCAGAGCACGTGGGCGCGCTCGTTCTTGAACGCACCGGACACGCCCCCTTCCTCCCCCAGCCCTGAGCTCGGCGCATCCCCTCACTCAGCTTCCCGGGCTGCTGCACAGCTCTGTGGGGTGGGCCTCCCCACACCCGTTCCACAGAGAAAGAAACTGAGCCTGTGGCAAAGGAACCAGCCCAAGGTCAACAGACAGCTCAACTCACCAGTCTCCCTCCACGGCCAGGCTCTGTCCACACCCCACGTGGCGTTTCTCAGAAGAAACTACTACACAACAGAGTCACCCTGGGCCCCCGCCGTCAGTCAGCCTGAAACTACTGGAGCCGGTCGCACGCCGCCCCAGGCCCCGAGGGGGACGCCGTGCTCTGTCACCACTGGGAGTCTGAGGGGCTCTCCCGGAGCTGGCTGGGTCTCATTCCCCACCACAGCGATGCTTCCAGGCCAGCACCAAAAGCTCGAGGTGACGGACAGGCGCCGGCTTTTCTGTGGCAATTCAAGATGGGCCGGCCCCAGTGCCCCCATTAAACTCAGTCCCCGGAGGTCCCTCTGACAGACCGCCCCGCTGCGTGCTGACTGGCTTCCTCCCCCTGGGATTGTCTCCAGACAACGATGTCCAGAATGTCCGGGGCCCACTGCCTTTCCCCGTCTGCCCCACGGAGGCGTCAGGCATCTGGGTCCCCCGGCCAGGCCCTACCCGCTAGCGTCTCTCTAAGGTCTTGGTGCCGAAACTCTGCGTTCCAGCCCAAGGTGCACTTCCCATGAGAGCTCAGAGGCTCCGCATAGTTCCCGCCCAGGGACAGCATGGCAGTGGCTGGGCCGGGGCCAGGTTCCTCCTACCTCCTCAGTGGGGTGGCTTTGCACATGATGGTCAGGCCATAGAACTGTATTTTTCCAGAACGCGAGGTTGGTCCATGAGAGGCGCAGGAGATGGGACCACCTGAGCTGGCCTCTTGGAGGCTGATTCGTTAATTGGTGGGAAATGCCCCCGGTTGAAACGATCGAAGGGAGGGATGACTTCGCCATTACTCAAACGAGAAGAGTCCCTCATCCAGGAGCAGATGTCTGGGGCACAAGGTATACTCCCCAACTCGCCCCTGCCTCATCTTTCCTCATCTGAGGTCCATCCATGAACAGGCTCTGAGCCTGGGACTAGGTCAAGGTCCATGAGAGTCCGGGATGACCTTGAGGCATCCTGTTTGGGAAACCGGGGGGTCATGATACTTTTCAGGGACATGGGGACCGGGCGGCGTTCGGTTAGGGGCGGGGAATACAGTGAGGTCAGCGTTAGACCTGCCGCGTCTGAGGGGTCAGTGGGACTCCCCAGCACACGTCTAGCAGGCCGCCGGACTGAGGGACGGCAGCTAGAATAAGAGACTCGGACTGAAGATGGACCAGCGACAGTGACAGGCCTAGAGTCAGAGGACAGAGCCATAGTGGTGGAAGGAACCGCCTGGGGGAAAGTGATTCGCGAGAGGGAAGGAGGCCCTAGAGACTCTGAGGTCACGGCCACTTAAGAAAGAGACGCTGCGTTGCCAGCGTCTCTATCAGTGCTGCACGGAGCGCTCGGTGGTTACAAGAGAAATGATAGCTCTGCAGGGGAGAAATCCAGCAGCCGCCACCCACCCTGGCCATGTGGTCAGACTCAGCATCACCAGTGCTGGGGGCATACTGACGTCGTGGGTCTCCCAATAAGGACACAGGCTCTCTCCTTTTGAAAGTCAGAAGACAGCACAGAGAAGGCCAGGACTTTGCCCAAGGAAGAGCCAGATTTGACCTTGTGCCCAGAGTTTGACAGTGAATAATAAGTCACAGGGGGAGAAAGACAAGCTACACCCCCTTTGTATCCCTGTCCCCGCCCCGATCTGGCCTATTGCCAAGGGGCCGCTCTCCTTCCACTAAGAAAAAGAAGGTGGTTGTGAGCGACGAAGACCAGGCACGTGGGTGTTTCAGCACGGTGCCCAGCACACAGTAGGGATCATTTCAAAAAACCATAGTGGAAGAGAAAGTAATTACTGAACGTGGAAAACTCATGGATGCTTCGAGATTTGGTATTACAGCACTGCATCCGATCTAAGATGCTGGTTGTAAGGTGCACCGTTATCTTACATACCACTAAGAAAGAAAGGAAAAAAAACAACCAGCAACCAAGATGGAGCATCTGACCCCACATCACGCTGGGGCGCCGAGGGGCTGCACCTGCAGTGTCACGGAGTCAAGGACAAATCCCACGCAACAGAAGGGGGAAGCAAGGAGATCCTAGGTCTCATCTTGGCACTGGGTGGAGGGCAAGAAACAAAACGTTTCCCTGAGAAGTTAAATCACGTGCTGGAGCCCCCAGAGGTTGGCCGTCCCTGTCAGCATGGCCTAAAAGGAAACAAAACAAAACACCACCCGCGAGCAGAGAGTTTCATGCAAAGAAACCTCAGGTGGGTGGCGTCCTGGGGGAGCAGCCAATTCACATCCTCACCGGAAGAACCTCACTGCAATGAGATGCCCCATTTCCAGAGATGTGAAAATGTTATGAACGTGAGTCTTAAAACCTATGAAATACGGTCAAGTAAATAAAATGCCACCTGTAGGCTGCCAAGCATCAGAGCATACATCCCAGAGGCCAGGGGACACTACAAACACGAGACGTATTTGCTCTCCACTCCTGCACGCTGGCACACGGGCCCTGCCCTCGTTCACCCGGGCAAACAGAAACACTGGCCAATCTGTTCCTCAGCTAACGGTCTGTGTCAGGTAGGACGGCACCACCTCCCTGGGCCAGTGCAGGAATTTAGTTGACTCACGGCCCAATTGCAACTTGAAAAGCAATTATATTTCATGCGTCTGAACGCTGCAGGCAAACATCTCGTGGCACTGAGCTGGTGAGTGTGTAGGCAGCTGCAAATTTAATAAATCTTAATTACTCTGTTTATATAAATAAGCAGGCTGAAGCTCTTGACATAGTTGGAGCCTTCAGTGACTTAGTGCACAGAGAGAAAAAAAAGCATGCAGAACCGACTGCTCATAAATAATTAGCTTTGGGAAAAATTTTTTCTCCTTTCCTTTGGAATAAAAATAATATATGAAATGTTTGTAAGTTGGCAAGATTACAACCTCTGAAGACAGTACCTATTTTCTACCTGTCAGGCCTGCATGTGCGTGTGCACGTATGCACACACACCCCTATAACACGCATGCACACACCCCAACCAGCAAAGACAACGCCAGAACCAACCGAAGGGGGGACTGCCCCCCACAGAAGTATCACTACTCTCCCCCTTTTTTTTTCAGAAAGAGAAGCAGGGCCTGTGTCCACAGAAGTCTGGCGATTAAGAACCTACTATGTGCTGGGTGTTACAAGAACTCATCCACTGTTAGCTTGGTGGACCTTCATTTCACTCACTGGAAAACCGTGGCTAAGTGACTCATCAACAACCACACACTCTAATGGTGGATCCCAAATTTGAATACAGAGCATAAAGCAGTGATTCTCAAAGGCCAGCAGCATAAGCGTCACCTGGGAACCTGCTAGACATGCAGATTCGTGGGCTGCCCCAGACCTAATGAACCGCAGACTCTGGGGGTGGCACACAGCAATCTGTGCTTAAACGAACTATCACATCAATGGGTCCAGTTTGGCCTCTGTTTATTGGCCTCTGAGTTGCTTCTTCACAGTGAGCTGAGACCCATTAGCTCAAAAGGCAGCCAGCACCCCTCTCAAATGTTCACACATCCAATTGTTTTAAATAGAGCCTGAAGAAGGAGATAGTTTAGCCATTTAGAGCCTGCCTGCTTTGCATATCCCATGAAATTACCCAACTGCCAGCCATAGATAAGATAAAGCCTGCAGCTGTGAAACCCCAAGCCGCTGCTGCCCTTCGGAGCTCCCTGACTCAGAGCCTCGCCACCGCGCTCAGCAAGGCCAGCTAGACAAGTGGCCCTCTCTCCCATCCCTCTGTCCCCTCAGCCAGGAGGCAGGGTCTACCAGGGCAGGGCTTTGCTCTTGCGTCCACCGATGTATCCCAAATGCCTGCAACAGTGCTTGGCACAAAGTCAGGGCTCGGTAAATATTTGTGGAATGAATGAATGAACGAATGAATGGGGAGACAGCCAGTAAACACTGGGCTGTGAACTCTCCACGTTAACCCGATGATAAGTTGCTGGGAACCTGAGTCTGCACGGGAGGGCTAGTGTCAGCCAGCCTAGCGTCTCCCTCCTGAGAAATATTCTGTGAGCACTTACTATGTGCTAGGCACCAGGGGGACCCAGACATGGCTCCCTGTGGACTCTGGCCTGGGAGATGCACAGATGGGGGCTCCCAACCAGTGCAGGGCGTAAAGTGTGGGAGCTAGAGGCAGCCCGGATGCCTAGCCCTGGGTCCCCTGCTTCCCACCAGGAGCCATGGGGCTGAACTGTGTGGCCACCCTGCCCTCCTCGATACTTCTCCTTATTTCATGAGGAAGCTCTTTGTTATTCTAAATTCGGGGGTGGGGGTGAGACCCAGAGCGCTTTGGAGCAGAGCATGCTGGAGGCTCCTGTCAGTTATGGGCAAAACAAGTGTATTCCCTTGGAAAAGGTGGCACTGGGGACGTGAACTTACACGGGGCTTTCCCGGAAGCAGGGAGACCCGCCGGGCCCAGGGGTGCTTCCCCCGAGCCATGTGTGAAAGGTTAAGATGTGGGCTCCAATGTGGCGTCTGGGGCCAGAGACCAAGCCGGAGCCTCACTGAACAAGCCACTCCAGCGTGCCACATCTAGGTTTCCCCGGTTACAAAAGGAGGTGATAACGCCCTGGGGTGTCGATGAGACAGTTAAAGGAAACAAACCCCCTAACCACGATTTCGCACAGTTCCAGGCACACAGTGGATGGTCAGTATGTAGCGTCTAGAGTAATAATACTTATTTCTCATAATTATCATGACCGCTGCTGTTACTGTTTTGGCCTGCAAGCCCCACCAGAGTGGCTCTGGGCAAGTCCCAGGGGGCCAAAGTGGAAACACCTGCCTGGTAGAACATGAAAGGCACAGCCGCCCTTTGCTCGTCCGTCCCCGTGAGCCCCACACACCCACCCTCTACCACGTGGGTGGCCACGTGGTCCGGGTCTCCTGGGACGGCCCTGGTTTACACCCGTTGTCACAGCATAATTATCAAGGGCATCTTTGTTAACTCTTCATCTTGTCATGGTTTCAGATAAAAATTTCTAGGGTCTCCCCCCTCTGTCACGTGCCTGTCACAGCTGAAAAAAACACTCTGCGCACCCCTCAGGCTTCCCGACAGCGAGGACCCGGGGCCCAGCCCAGTGCAGCCCAGACCCAATTCCACAGACCTCTCAGAACCTTCTAGAAAGCCTAGGCGTCCCGCCCCAGAGTCGCAGGCCACCAACCCTCCAGACGCCCTGCCCTCTAGCTGTGTGCAGCAGATGGCAGACACCATACCTTTTGGAATTCAGCCGGCTCCTCTGGAGAATTCTGTGTCTGTTATTTTAGGGAAGGAGAGGGAAAGGGGAGGGAAAAAAGTTAAGTGAGTGAAACTTAAATCCCAACAGAGCCTGTAATGGAATATTCATTTTGTCAGGGGAGAGTTTCTTTAAAACTTCTGGTCATCTGGACAGGCTGAACCAGCAGGTGATTCAATTTAATGAGCTTTTTAACCCGCCTCGGGCCCAGGTGGGACTCAGTCTGGGAAGACCTGGGCCGAGACAGCAGGGCACGGCCACCTGGCTGGGGCCGGGCTGACATCTAGTGGCCGACACGGCCATTGCGGGGCCAGCAAAGCCGGAGCGCCAGAGCCCTGGCGTCTGGGGTCTGAGGGCAAACAAGGGCCCTTGGAGGCAACCACCCCTCTTCCCGGACAAAGCTCCGTGCCTCGGCATCCTCGTGGGTTCTCAGGGAATAATATCAGTGTTCCCTTTATAGGGTTGTTATGATGGCATAGCATCAATAAAGGCTATTATTATTAGTTTAGCTATCGTTATTGTTTTTCACGAGGGGGCACAGAGGACGCTTGCTCAAAGTCGCAAAGTGAGTTAGTGGAGGAGGTGGGCCAGGTCCCCACAAAGCTCCGTGCCTCAGCATCCTCGTGGGTTCTCAGGGAATAACATCAGTGTTCCCTTTATAGGGTTGTTATGATGGCAGAGCATTAATAAAGGCTATTATTATTAGTTTAGCTATCATTGTTTTTCACGAGGGGGCACAGAGGACGTTTGCTCAAAGTTGCAAAGTGAGTTAGTGGAGGAGGTGGGCCAGGTCCCTCTATTATGCCTCCAACAGTGGGGTGTGTTTTAGTGCTGGCTCTGCTGCTGACTCGCTCTGGCACCTTGGGAGAGTTCGGCTTCTCAGAGTCGCAGTCTCTGAGGACCGCAGATACAGCGACTCTGGCAGAGGGGCTGCTGTGAGGACTGAACAGGTAGCAAAGTGCTCCTCCAGCGTTTACTACGATGGTCACCGCTGTCGTGACTAGAGCTCCAGCCTCGCAGGGTGGCGGAATGGCTGGATGACACCTTGCAAGTCAAGTACCTAGGACCCAGGAATTTCCCTGTCTTTGAGCGGCCACCTCAGCCTGGTGCTGAGGTGGGCCCACCTGTGTTTCCCATCATCCCATCCCCCAGGTCTGGGACCTGGACATCCTTAGCACCTACCAGCAGGCAGCTGGCATCCTTGAGTTTGGACTTGTACAGCATCCACCGGTAACGCAGATCCTCCAGCTCATCTGAGGTGTCCCTTGCTGGCCCGAGACGAAGAAGGTTCTCGAAGAGATGCTGACCTTCTGGTACCCGAGCCTCCAGGTCCTGTGGGAAAAAAGGCAGTGTCATGTGCACCTCTCAAATGGCCCCACCTGGCTGGTGAGGAGGAGCCGACCAAATTCCTGCTCGAGGGGAGCGGGGGGCCGGCAGTGCCTATAAAGAGAGAACCCCAGCCATGCAAATTCAAGCCAAGGCCAGGCGATGAACTCTCTGGAATGTCACGGAAGGGACTCCTGCATGGCAGGGGCTGCTACACTGCTGACCTCCACAGTGACTTCCAACTCTGGCATTCTAGATCCCAGCCCTCCAGAGGGCTTGGAGTAAGAGTTATCATCGTTATAAAAGCTGCCATCATTGAACATTCTCCTATGGGTATGTGTAAGCCTGGCAGAGTGATGCTGGGACCTGGCAGATTTTTTTTTTTTATTATTAAAATATCATATCGTGTTCCCCCAGGATGGCATCTTTTATCCTCAGGACTCCTGAGAAGCAGTGTGATGTGGGGGTTAAAGGCTGGCTCTGGATCCCGGCTCTGCCCACAGCCTGCCTCTGCTGTGTGCTAAGGGGTAAGCTGCTTAGCTTCTCAGAACCCCTTAAATGTGAGATCAAGGCAAGGAGGGTTCACTCGGGGAACTGCAAGTCATCTCTGATATGGCTGGAGTCGGGCAGCGGTGGCAGGAAATGACCCAGGATGGGGTAGGAGGTGGGCAGGGAGGACTTCCCGGTCACGGTCAACTGGGCAATTGTGCCGAACCTCTTCCCGGTCACAGTCAACTGGGCAATTGTGCCGAACCTCTCACTGAGGACAAAGTAGTAAAAAGATTTAAAAGGCATCAAAGAGTTAACAAAAGAGTGAGGTGCATCAGGCTAAAACCAGGGCAAGGACGAAACCCAGCGAAGTGAGCCCAGCGTCCAGGCCTGCTGTACCTGTAGGACACTGGCCAGTCTGGAAAAAACAGTTGTGAAACAGACCATGCTTTTGGCAGCCTCACAGGGCTAGGGAGACAAAGGGCGAAGTCTGGGCCCTGCAGAGGTGGAAACTCTGATAAACCATTTCCCCTTTAGCTGAGACTCCGAAGCCTCCATAATCAAGGTCAAAAGTGGTAACCGCCTACATTACGACAGTGGCCGTGAGAGGGGACAGAAACAAAACATCTGGGAGGTGGAATCCAGGAGGGCTTGGTGACTAATTAGACGTGGGGGTGAAGGAGAAAGATTCGTGGTAGACAGATTGCTTGGCTGAGCTCAGCCAAAATTGCCAACCTTCAGAATCATGCATTGCATAAATGGTTGCTGTTTGACACCGCAAATTGTTGGGATGGCTCGTTACACAGTGAGAGCTAACCGATACAAGAGCTGTGATTAGTGGCGAGATTTTTCCCAGTTGGGGAAAATAGAAGTAGGCTGAATGCATGAATAAGTTTTCTAAAGTTCTTCTAAAATATTTGAACCAAAAAAGTTTAAAAGCCATTATTTTATATATAAGCAAGAACAACTCACGAGCTATGTTTGCTCTGCTTCTTTTGAAGACCTCCCTGGGGGCAAACACACCTACGGTCCCAACCCTCTGGAAAGGGTCCTTTCTTTGGGAACAAACCTGCAGCTTCGCTTCTCTGGTCCTCAAGCCGTTGGCTGTGGCAGTTTTCATTGCGATGATTCTAACCAGCTTCGAATTTTCCACCTGCAGCCACTGCTCAAAATTCCTCAGGAGCTGGAAGAAATCTTCATGGCTGCCTCCTGCTTCTTGGAGCAGATTTGCCTGCTGGGATGCACAGCATAGCATGGTCAAAGTGTCAGAGGCAAGAACAGCCCACTGACCCCCTGTCCTGGGAATTCCACCTGAGGCAGAGGGGTGGGGATGAGGATGCCCAGAAAAAGATGAGAGAGGCCCGAGGAGACAAAGAACATCTCTTCGCAACGTGGCTGAATTTAGAGAGCAGGGACACGTGCCACTGTCCCCTCCCTGGTCTCCCAGTGGCAGTCACCTTCATCCCTTACCGGGATGGTTATGACAGTGGTTGTCCTCTGGCCACGTTTGTCCCTTTCCAGCTGCACAGCGATCTATCTGGCGTGCAAGTCCGTTCAGTGGAGCCCTCACTCATACACGCTGGTGGCTTCTCATACCCCTCGACGTGGCCTGAGAGCCTCAGCTTCTGGCTTTGCCTGACTCCGCAGCCCTGTGGGCTGAGCCCGAGCTCATGGACACGTCCTGGCCCTTGTCTCTCTGCCTGGGGTCTTTGCACATAGTCTCCCCTGCATGGATCACACCCCCTCTGTGCCTCTCCTTGACTCCCACTCGGCCGTGAGGATTCCCCTGACATTTCCTTTCTCCCAGGAGAGCTTCCCTACCCGAGAACCGGGTCCCGGTCACCCTGCAGCAGGCTCCCATAGCATGTGGCCCCTCTGCCATGGCGTGTCACGCTTTCTGTAAACCCTTATTTAATTGCCTGCGGTTCCTCCTTCCTCGTCCCTTAAAACGTGCCCCGAGGCCCAGCGGCAGGGGCTTGTAGAAATGCAGACTCCCGGGCTCGGCCCCAGACCTCCACATCAGAATCTGCACTTTAATATGATCGGGGCACATGTCACAATACGAAAGGTTCTGCACCAGATTCTAGATTCTCTGCTGGCTGCAAGTGTTTCTGTTTTATTCACAGCTGCAGGCCAGCTCCAAGCACGGTCCTTAGAGCACAGCAACACTCCGTAAGGGCCTTTCGGGCGGGGAAATGAAAGACCACTGCAACAATGGATGAAGTGACATGCTGTCTTTGAACAAGGAAGGAATTTCTTTTCAATGTGCTTCCTTTTTTTAGAGGCAGTCGGGGAGGTGGGTGGTTGGATGAATGATACAATGTAGTTAGGTTCTTTTTACAAAATACAACTTTCGGCACACGCGCACACAAAGTATCCATCTTGTTTGATCTAGGTCTGC